ACTTGCTATCAATACTAAGGTAATAGGAATCTTTGATAACTGATTTCTTAGTGTTCTATAATGGATATTTTGTGTATTCTACCTTGCCACATAAAAAGGCACTTTTATTTAAGGAGCATTATTATGGTAATGGATTGTCTTGGTCAACAGCTGAATAAAAAGTTGCCCAAAAACAATTTCTATCTTATGAGTAGTCTTAATATGCATATCTAAATTTTAACAATCTAAAAAATTTACCAACAGATTCCTCTTTTAGCCCTTAAATTATATACCTTAATTAATAACAAAAACATTTTTTCACATTTTTGGATAAGTAATTTTTTGTTGTTTTGATCTCTGATTTAATAAAAGATCTATCAAATATGAATAATGTTACAGATGCCTTAGCAAGGAATGTTGATAAATTATCAACCAAATTGGAAACTTATATTGAAGCAAATCAAAAATAAGATAGTTTAAGATATATCTATTTTAATGGTATAAATTTGGCATCAAAAGTTTCAAATTAGTTGAATATTTAAAAATTATCTTCTGAAAATTTGAGAATATTATAGTAAGTGTATGAAAAGTTAAACCATTGTAATCAATACGTCGTTAGAAAGTATTTAAATTAATTAACGATAGTGCTGGTATGTGGTTTTTTGGCATCAAAGTGGTGGACAAACGAGTCATTTATCTCCAAACTGCGACCATAAGTTTAAGTAAAATTGAAGAAGAAATTAATAAATTTAAAGAATAATTCTTTCCTAATATGCTATTCTGAAATATATGAAAAATATATATATTAACAATTAAATTTTAATAAAACCGATAACACTAAACATTTATATTGAGATTATAATGTAATTTTCAATAATTATTCAATTTTCTATACATTATTTTATATTTTTTATCAGAAAATTCCTATTTTAGTATCAAAGTTCTTATAAAAACAACCCATTTTTTACTTATAAAATCGTTTGAATTAATACAGCTTCATTGATGATAGTTTTATAAATCATTGAAGACACATTGGTAAGTTAATTTTAAATATAAAAAGAACAGGTAAAGATTTATTAATACTGATTATTAATTGAGATTACTTAAAGCTGTTTTTTTATTTATTAATCAAATATTTTTAGAATTTCAGAACCAATATATATGAATACAAAGGCCCTTAGTTTATAAAAGAATAGAGTGAATTCTGAACAATGGAAATTATTGCAAAGAGATGTACCTTATATTTCTAAACCCATCCTAGCCCTAATTACTTAAATTAGCCCAACAATTAAACAGAAATCGAACACAATCAAATATTTCAACGCAGAAACAAGTCAAACCAGGCAATTAAACTGTCTCCAGAATCAAATTGGACTCTCTAAAAGTCGATAGTCTCGATGATCCTCCATGTTAACAAGAAGAACAAGCTAAATTAAAATAGACTATTACAAGTAGATCTGCTCAATTCACCAGAAAAGTCAACTTGAACAATCACATGCCAATAAAGAAAGTCCATCATGGGAATTACTTTTTTGATAAAATTAAAGAAATTTTAATGAGTGACCTAAGAGACAATTCACCTATAAAAAAAATGGGTAGGGATGCTCTTAATCAAATTCATATGATGATTACATATCAAGAATTTATCCCTGAAGTTTCTCTATAATATTAAGGGAAATCATAAAAAAAGTTAAAAATAGCCTTTGATCTCGATGAGACTCTCATTCACACAGAACCAATACAAAAGGATAAAGTATATGATTATCAAAACAATGAATTCGGAGTTTTTATTAGACCCTACTGTCGCCATGTGCTAAAAGAATTGAGTCTATTGGCCGATTTATTTGTTTTTACCTCTGCTAATTAAAAATATGCAAAGACAGTAAAAATATTATTAATTAATACAGATAATCAATCTCATTGATCCAGAAAACACATACTTTAAAGGACATTTTTGTAGAAATCACTGCATTACTCTATAAAGCAGGATTTAACTCAAACATTTAGGAATTTTATCAAACGACTTTTCAAACATAGTAATAATAGACAACAGTCCAATATTTTATATGTAATCTATTTAGTTTAAATGATTTAGGGGTTAGCCATATAATGGAATACCAATAGCTCCGTATATTGATGATAAAAATGATAATGAACTACTGAAATTGTTAAATTTTGTTACTGAAAAAATTTTATAATCAGACGATGTTAGAATTACAATTAGACGATTCTTTCAATACGATATGTTTAGACAATTTTCCGATGGAGTCTAAGCATTCAACATTTTATATAATTGATGAGTTTATATATTACCTCAATTCTCAATCTATTTTTATTCATTTTAATTCTTAATTTATATATATTTATGAGATAACTTTCATAAATAGATGGATTTTTGAAGAGTTATTTTTGAATACTAAATTTAGAAATACTCATCTTTTATTTATATTAATAATTATTCATTTTCTAAATTTGAGTTAAGTGTTGAGTAAGGGTTCTTAGATCACATTATTAAATAATTTATTTAACAGCTTTTTAAATTTTGTATTAATTGAATGCATTACAACAATCACAACAGTAAGACATCTGATGCAGAAGGTGAGATTTAGAAATGGAAGGATAGGGCGTTGAAATTAGAAAGTGGATTTAAAGTATTAAATGATTTGATTTAGGAATTACAATAATTGATGGATGAAACTGATGATATGAGGAATAATTTAGAGAAAAAGATAATGGAAAACCAATAGTTAGTGATTGAGAATAGCAGATTAAAAGAAAGATTGCAAAATATAGATGTTTCTGATAAAGTATTTTCGAACAAGTTATTCGATGATCATGATATCAAAGAAAAGGAATTCATTATTTAGAAATTAGAGTAAGAGATAATAGACAAGGATAATCAAATTTTAAAATTCAAGAGAGAAATAGAATCAATAAATGTATATGAAATTTAAATATTTAGAGAAGATCAAAGTTAAAGGAAGAGGAATTACATAGACAATATTAAGCTAAGCTAGAAGATTTATAAATACTATATAAGAACGATACAAGTGATAGCCAATAATAGAAGTTCCAAATGACTAAGAAAATGGCTGAAATGGAATAGGTATTTCAAATTATTATTTCTAATTAGCTTCTAAGTTTCAGAACTGAAGAAAATTAATTGTTGGTGAACGAATTAAATTTAAAAAATGAATAAATAGTTGAATTGAATAATCACAATAAATTGATTGTTGAACTAAAAAACAAAGAATTCAAAGATTCATAATTACAATATTAGTTATCCACTTAACAATAAATAAAATAGATGGAAGAATCTATTGCGTAATTTAAAAGAAGTTAAGACTCAAATTTAAGTGAGATTGAACAATTACTCTAATTTAAGCAATAAATGACACTTAAAATAAATGATGTATTTAAACATTTTTATTCTTTCTTAGCTCTCATCAACTAATTAGCATCTATTAATTGAAAATGAGAGTTTGAAATCAACTCTTTTGTTATTCCAAAAACAAAAAGATTAAGATGATTATATGTATGAAGATTAGAAAAAGAAAGAATCATTACATATAAAGAGATACTATGAAACATTATTAGAATAAGTAGAGAAGGAAAACAGAAGCTTAAGATTATTATTAGAATAAAAAAGTAGAGAATTAGATGATTTATGGAATTAAAGTAAAAGATATTGATTTCATTTTTCAATTACATATAGAAATCAGAATTTTATCTTAGTTAGTTTCGATCAGCTTTGAAATAGCTTTTCATAATTTTCAAACTTATTTTTTATAAATTATGCTTTAATGTAGGCTCCCCCTTTTCCATCTTTTCTGAACGGTTTTATGATATATAATGGTGGTAGAGATGGAACTGAGCTATTATAGAATCTGTCATGCTTTATTCTTAAAATTGAGGGGTCTTCCTTTTAATGATTTTTATTAGATATTTGCTGATTAAAAAGCGGTTGTGCTGGCCTCTATATTTTGAGTCCTTAGAGATCTAGAAACATAAGATCTTTTTGATATTTATTTTTTTCGGTTAAATCCATATCATAAATTGGATTCGACAATTTAGGGAACATTAATTGAATAAAATATAAAATATTTTCTAGTGTAACTAAATCACTGTATGAATTATTAAAACTATTTTGAAATAGAAGGTTTAATTGATCATAGATTTTGTTCATTTAATTATCTATTTCGTCCTATTTCATAAAAAGAAATAATTTTTTTGATTTTCATTACAAGTAATTTTAATTCCTTATGGTCTTACGTATGTCTTATGTTCATTCCCATTATATATGATAAGGTTCAGATGATGACAACTCATTTTTATTGTAAGTTATCAAAATTTAATTAAGAGTCTATGTTTCTTTTTTCTCAATTTAATTCTGAGAAATATATTTTATTAGCCTCTTGTTAAAATTCAATTCCTAATTCTTTTTAATATGATTACTAAAATGTTCTGACATGATTATAAATTAACATATGCCATGATATTATTATCTAATTATTGATATATACTAAGTTATAACACTTTATAAAGTCTAAAATGTCTGAAAAAATAAGAAATAAAAAATTATAAAAATGAATAAATAAATTATTTTCTTTACTTGCAATATTTTATAAAATTAAAGTGACTAACATGCTATGGGGGCTAATTAATTCATTATTTTGTAGTATAATTTTGACATTTAAATTAAACAACAATAAATTTTATTTACTTTAATAATTATAACAAGATGTACTCATATGCTCCATTAGGCGTTTCTTATGCTTCTCCCTTAGCAACATCAATAGCTAGACCAGTGCCAGGTAACAATCAAATGCAAATAAAATTTAGTTGGATACGCAGCTCCAGTGTCTTATGCCGCTCCAGTTTCCTATGCTCCTCCAATCTCATATGCCGCCCCAGTTTCTTATGCAGCTCCTCAATATTCACCAATCAGAGGAGAATCCAGAGTTGAATATGTTCCATATCAAAAGCCAGTTGTTGAATTAGAAGAGGAAGTCAGAACCTTTTAAGTATATTGATACATTAAACATTAGGTACCAAAATAAAAGTGGGTTACAGATTATTACCCTGTTGAATATCAAAAGGAATACGTTCCATAAGTGTCTTATGAGAAATAAATCGACTACGTTCCTGTTGAAAAGAATGTCCCAAGAGTTGATTATTTAGAATATGAAAGAGAAGTATTTAATTTATTCAATCATTTAAAAGGTCAGAAGAGCACCTCCCGCTCCAGTTTCCTATGCATCACCTCTTTCCTACAGCTATGTTGCTCCAGTTGCCCCATTAAGAACAAGTGTTGTTGCACCAACCTATAATTACGGTTATGGATATGCTCCAACTTACAGTTACGCAGCTCCAACTTTTGGTTATGGATCAGTTTACAGATATTGATTTTACAATCATATATTCGATTTTATGCAATTTTTAAATAAAAAATAAAAATAAAATAATAAAGTATTATTTTAGCAGTTTCTATCATCATTTGTAAATTAATTCAGTTTTTCTTATAAATTATTACATTTATACATAAGGATTTCTAATATATATTTTATTTTCATTAATTGTCATGGTGATGATGATTGAATGTTTTATAGATTGATCAAGAAAGTAAGAAAAGATAACTTAGAGAGATGATAGAAAATTTATAACTTTTCATTTCAAACATGTTACAATTAAAATGATGATGTAATTATTAAAATTCAAATGAGAGAAGTATTATTATAATAACTTATTAATTGCGTAATAATAAATGAATGCTAATTCATTTCTAACAACCAAATGCACTAGTTTCAGTTTCACTTAATATAAGGTGAGATCTCGGTCAATTTAACACAAATCGTTAGAAAATAGTCGCTCTCATCCAAGTCAGAAGGATCTGTTAGAGAAATAAAAACAATAACGTAGAAGTGTCCATGTAACAACATTATTGCAACAGAATCTTAACATTAATTAAATGTTCACTAAACCCATAATTGATGAATTAATGTGGAGATAATCAGAACTTTATATGAATCGTAACATCATATGATTTAGTTTAGAATTTAAAATACAACTAAGTTATATTGTGGACAGTGGGAACTTACAATAATTTGGAGCCATAATTTGCATGACAGCCGAGATTCTTCTAAAAATCAAAGATTTTAATAATGCTTGTTACTATTTCAATTAATATGTATGTTGAACGTTTATAATTTGAGAGAATTTTGAATACACTCACCAAGAATCATGCTGAAAAAGCAAAAGCTTTAATTGGTTTGGCTAACTGTGCTTAGGAAATAAAAATGAATCGTGAAGCATTAACAATATTAAAGAAAGCATTGTAATATGCATGGCTCAGCAAGGAATACGAACTACAGATCTATGAAAAATTAGCCTTAAATTATTATTACTTGGGATAAAGTGAGGAATAGTATTATTTCCATTAGAGAGGGCTGTTAGGCATATTGGAATCTGATGAATCCCCTATCAAATAATTTAGCTGTGAGTCCTTGCGAGATTAATTGAAGAAGAATAACATAGAGATCAAGACTCTGTGTCCTTAGTTGTTAAACTATATGAATTTACCGATTTTAAGTAGAAATGAATTGCTGAGTAGAAATCCAAACTCAATACGAAGTGATTAAGTTAAGAAATAAGTCATCTACACAGTTACAGAACAAATAGAAATAATACTATAGAAAAATGAAGAATTCCAATATTAAATAAATACTCCTAAATACTAAAAGCTAATTAAATATCATAATAACAAAAAGGGAGATGAATTCAGAGTTGTAAATTAATCGCAATCGTCATACTCTAAGGAGAGAAGACAATATGATTTAACTAATACTACTATTTATAAATTGCCTTATGAAGTTTAAGTGAACAATCGCATTCAGCATCCCTACATTCCTGAAGACATTAATGCGAAACTGCATGAACAATTAAGAAATGCTAATAGAACTCAAAAATTCGGATTAAGAAACAAAGTCATACTTAATCATTAGAATAGGGAAGACATGCACTATAGGAAGAATGGAGCTTGCTTGTACAGATAATTATATGCTATATTTTCATATTATTCTCAATTATTTAATTGAATATATTATTCCATAATGGGTATTTGTTTTCAAAAAGAAGATAAGAATTAAGGCAATTAAATTGAAGATTCTAAACCAGGTTCTTCTAATACACTCCCAGTGGATGCTTAGCAAATAAAACTCAATGACTAATTGAATCTAGTATGTTTGGAAGATTTTATATCTAACAAAGTAAATTAATAACTGATAATTCAAAGGTTGTTGGGAGAGGATCCTTTGGAAAGGTCATGTTGGTTTAGCATAAAATGACAAAACAATATTATGCAATGAAAATACTAAGAAAGGATGTAATTTAATAAAAAGGCTAATAAATTCACACAATGAACGAAAGATAAATTTTAGAAGTTGCTTAACATCCATTTATTGTCAAATTGCATTTTGCATTCCAAACTCCTGAAAAATTATATTTAGTTACAGATTTTCTCCCTGGAGGTAATTCTCATCTTCATTTTAGGTGAATTATTCTACCATTTAAGAAAATCAAAAAAGTTTTCAGAAGACAGAATGAAATTATACGCAGCAGAATTAATCTTGGCACTTGATTACCTTCATCAGAAAGGCATTATATATAGAGATTTAAAACCAGAGAATATTTTGATAGGAGTTGATGGCCATCTGAAATTGACAGACTTTGGCCTCTCCAGAATCAATCTAAAAGAAGGAGAAAGAACATACACATTCTGTGGTACTCCAGAATATTTAGCCCCTGAAATTTTGTTAGGTTAAGGGCATGATTAATCAGCAGATTGGTGGAGTCTTGGGGCACTCATGTATGAAATGATAGCTGGAGCCCCTCCATTTTACTCCAATGATAAAGGAATGATGTTCAGAAATAGACTCGAAAAGAAAATTGAAATGAAACCATGGTTTTCTGAAGAAATTTCCAATCTACTTACTGGGCTCTTGATAAATGATGCTACTAAAAGGATTACTATTGATTAGATCAAAACCCACCCCTTCTTTCATTCCTTGTCTTGGGAAGACGTATATCACAAAAAAATTAAACCATAATTTATACCAAAACTTAAAGATGAATTAGATTTATAAAACATTGATCCCATTTTTACAGAGGAAGAAATAAATGATACTCCTATTAATACAATCAAAGGAGGAACATTTGACAAATTTACATATGCTAATTCATAAATATTCAAATAATGATAGAATTAATGTTTTATAAAATCTATTAAAAATTCATTATGACTTCAAAAAGTTTATTATAATATAAAGCAATTACAATTAATTTATTTACCATTGTAACTAATATAGTTTTGATACTACTCTATAAGCATCATCTGCATCCATTCTTTCTAATAACCTAAATTATAAAAGGATCTATTAATTATATTATTTTTTATAATTTAAAGTCTCTTTTTATAGAAAATTAATGATTAAGTTGCAACTATCAAACGAATAGTAAAATATTTCTATCAATCCTTCAAAACCAACTTAATTGCTTTTCATATCAAATTGGTATTACAATAATTTATGTACTACTATTTAAATTTAAATTCATCAAGTATCTTACTGATTTGTATTATTTCCTATTTTAATAAACTCATGAACAAAATGTTATAAATTTTGTTTTTGATTTTCAATTTTTTTATTTCTTTAAGAATTCAATTCGATAAATTTAATATGTATTTTTAATGTTGTTCCAATATAAAAATTAACATTATTATATAAATTAAAATTAATGGGGTTATGCTCGTCTATGCATCATGAGACTGAATTATCAGCATCTCTTAGATTAAAAGCCATTTAAATATTCCAAAAAATTGATAAAGAGAATAAAGGAGTGATTGACAAAAAGACCACGCAATAGTTTTGGTATATATTCCCTCTATTACTCTCTAAGGCAGTCTAACTTTGCTAAAATTAATACTGAAGCTCTATTTAAAGCAGTAGATTTTGATAATTCGGGTGATATCACCATTTAAGAGTGGCTGACTTTTTGGAAAATAGTAAAGAAAACTGGATATACTGAATAGGAAATTAATGAGGAAGTATAGCAAATGTTCTATAAATAGCTTGATGAATTAATGCAAGGGAAAGCGTGGGTTTAATTTAGAGTAGTAGATCAATTTATTTAAGTTGATAAAAATAGGAGAAGATCACAAATCCCTCAAATAGTGATGTAGGAACAATAAATGACTTTGAGAAAAACTAAAACAGCTGAAATCAAATGATTATATATTCATATTTGTACTAATACAATTCTTTGATATCATCGCTTTACTTTAAATTATTAATCGAATTTATTAAATTACGTAATATCAAGTGATTATATGGAAGTCTGACATAATATCATAATGATGATTCTATTTAATATATAATAAAGGATAATTCTTAATTCCTTTAATTAAAAAACTATGTGACTTTAATTAAATTTAGCAGGAAGTATGCTGCATTAATAATATTATTGAACTCTTGTGAATTAAACTAAGTACTACATCTAAGCATTATTAAATTTAGTATTGCGGAGGTTATAATACCTAACTAAAGTAAATTATATATTAAATTGTGATAATTTTCTCGACCAAATTTTTATAAACTAAACAACATCTCATTTCAAATATTTCATAGGAGAATGAATATAAATGATTAAGATAATTCTAAATAAGTAAAATTAGGTTAAAAAATATTAGAATAACTCAAAATATGATATATTGATGAATAAGAATTTGGATGATTGGAGGTTTAAAAAGATATAATTAAATCATTCAATCAAATAAGAATTTCAAATGAAACTTTTAATCTTTTATCTTTTTTTGTTTATAATCTTAAAGTACTTTAATTAAAGGCTGAATACAGAACATATTCGCACATAATTAAAGTAAACAAAAAGGGTTCCTAACTTATTTTTCTTTTTTCTGATAAAATTTGAATGCATTCCAAAATCTTTTATTTATTTTTTATCCAATTTTTATCATCAAAATCCAACTATCTTTTTATCAAATTATAGACTTAACTTGAAAAAAGTACCTTTTTTGTTTCCATTTTAAAGGTTAGATGACTAAATAGAATTTTATTACTCCATTTAATCATTACTTGAAAGTCTGAATCTACAAATTATGTTAATCCAACTAAAACCATTTGTAATGCTCTTAAATTTAATTAAAAAGAATCATTAAACTCTGGAATGTTTTTGAAAATAATTTGTCTTGATAATGTATTTTATAATTATTAAATTACTTCTGGCATTTTAAATTAAGATCTTTATGTAAGAAGAAGATGCTTGTTATCCAACCATATTCTGTAAAATTGTAAATTAACAATCTATTGTAGTACAAGTAACTTATTATTAAAAGTACAAATGCTAGAAAGAATTTTTGAAGAGCATTAAATAAATAAACTTTCCTATAACTTTTGGTTTGATAGTGTTTATTTTATTTCCTGCCTAGATTAACTATCAAAAGCTAAAATAACACATTAAACATCTTGAAGAATGTATTAAATTAGTTTAACTCTGAATTCCTATTTCAATATACTGGAACTAACATCATAAGATGGTATTAGCTACTCAAAATTACAGCAAAATTATTCCCGAATTGCCATTTCTAAAGATTCTGTTTTCAACTTAGCATGAGAGGATCCACTATGGATTATTGCCATCTAAAATAATATCAAATTTAAACATCTCTCAAAATTTTTCTTAATTCTTAATTGTCCTGAATTTGAAATTTTTTTTTGGTTCTTTCATTGATTTATTTGATAATGATTTGATCTTGTCGTTTATCAAATTCAACTACAATCAATTCATAATCCACTATTTATTCTATAATTTTTATCCATTTATTTCTCTCTCGATTATCAATAAATTATAATCGTTTTAACTTTAGATTTGTATATTTTAAAAATATTAAACCTAACAAAACACTCAGTTGGGTAAGGCTTAAAGCAATAAATTCTAATGAATTTTCCATATACAAGATTAAAAACAATATATATAATCCTAAAATGCTTATTGCCTAAGGTAAAATTTAATAACCTTGCTACATGATGGCTATTGTATATAAAATATATACCAGAATGAAAATAAAACGATTAAAAGCCATAAAACCATTAATATTATGAAACTTAAAGCGATGATTATAGATTGTCTATGCTCCAAACAATTGCAAATATTATTTAGAGAGCAGGCAATATTATAATGGCGTATTTTGGACAACTGTCTATAATTAATTTGAACACTATAATCAGGCCAGCAATTATAAATATGATCAAAATACTAGTCAAATTAAAGTATTCTGATTAAAAGTACGATGATAAATAAAAGGGAAAAAAAAGCTCAGTTAATATGTTATTTATACCAAACATTAAATAGTGAATAAGTTAAACTCTTCTTTTACTTTTATTGATTGATTATCCCTAAATTCTTGTTCAATAGCATCTGATTTAAAACTTAGTGTTAATTTGTTTAGCATTTTGTCTTATTTCTTAGTACTAAGATAATATTATATTTAATTAAGTAAATCAAATAAAAAAAAAATAAATCCCAAAAACTGATTCAATCTTCATTTTAATTATATAAATCATTCAAAATATGAAACATTATATTAACTGACCAAAATCATTATTGATTTACAAATAAATTGAGTTTTTCATGTTTAACCTACCTTTTATTTCAATAATTTTGTCCTTTGAGTTCTACTATTCAATAATTTAAATCTCATTAATCAGAGTTATATTGTAAATATTGAATATTTTATCTAATTAAAAGTTAGAGCCATTGAAACTAAGTAACTTTATTTACAAATCAGAAAGTAAAATTAATTTTGCATCATTTTAATAAAATCTCGCATTTACATACCTTTCTTCCTAATAATCCAAATTAATCTCTAAATTCAAAAGTTCAGATGTATTTACAACTTCGTATAATGTAAAAACAAAAGATTACAATATATAGAAATATTTGGTATTTTATGAAAATTGAATGTCAATTAAACCTCTACTCTTCAATTGAAATTTATGGAAAATTTCATTTTTCGATAAGTCCTTTAATTCAAATTATATCACATAGTCATCTCCTTGAGAAGTGACTTAAAGTAGATTATTGTTTGAAACAGCGATTTTAGATAGTCCAAAATAATTTTTTTTCTCAAAATTATGATTTGCAATACAATGGGTAAATACTGAAAATTATTGCAAATATTCAATTTCGTATTAATCAAATTAAAAGAAATGTATTTTTTACTTAAAACTCTACTTAATCTATTCGCTATTTATATTTAAATCAATTAGTTTCAATTAAGGTATTTTTTAAGATTTTAAATTTTTTATATTTAAATCCATTAGCTTATAAAGTTTTCTTTCTTGCATAAACAATTCCTTTATTTTTCTTAAGGCTATTTTTAGTTTTTTGTAATTCTAATAGCAGACATAAAGATCGTTTTGCTAAAATTTAAGATGAAATGAATAAAAGTAAGCATAGCAAACTTAATATGGAATTCTACATATTTATTATTCGTCTGTGTAAGTAATGGAATGTCTTTGAATCGAGGATTTGAGTTTCAAATCATCTGGATTCTTAAAAAATTTATTAATCTACTCAATCCCTTCTAAACTGTTTAATTTATTTGTAAATTTTATTAATTTCTCAATTTCTTCTTCTTAATATGATGTTTCTTCCAAAATCCCTGAATATATAGAATTATTAAAAATAATGGGAAGAAGGTAATAATAAGATTTCATATACTCTTCAATTTATTTATCGCTTTAGAACTATTCTAAAAGATCATAAAACTCTAGTAAAAAATTAAATTTTGAAAAGTATTATTGTGCTATTATTATTTGCTATTTCAGTGATTTGTAGATATTATAACAGAACTTAAAGTTGTCCTTATCATTGTCTGTAAGTTTTGATTAAAATTGAGAAATTTCTGATTGAAACTCTGAATTTTCTGATATACTCCACATTATAAATATTATTTAGAATTCATTAAGTATTTTAAATATATAAATAAAATCAATTGACTGCTATTTTATGAGTTTGATTCTTGATATTTTACAAGTGATGTCTATGTATAGAATATGAGATACATTTAAAAGACTTAAGTTTTTAACTAATTATATCTTTAGAATAGAGTATCATTAACATCATCTTAAGAAATATAGTCTTGCTTTGAATCATGATCGTTTACAATTTAGCTAAGCACATAAGTGTTCAAGACTGACTTATTTAATTCATCTTATAATAACACCAATTATGAAGTGTTCTATACAGACTTTTTTCTATCTTAGAAAATATCATATGTTGAAGGTATCTTTAACGATTAACTCTAATATGGCTGTGATATTACCACTTATTTTATGTAGCTCTTGGAGATCTTTCGAATTGTTGCAGAGAAGATATTTATTTAATAGTAGTTTCTTGTTTTTAATTACTTGCTAAAAGCTAATTCTATGATTAGGTCCAGTCATAGACATCATCATATTCAATTCTTCGAGATTAGGCTAGTTTTCTAAATAGTTAAATCAAATAATCATAATCTGGATCGCTTTGATACTGTAATGATTTTATGTATCTATACTATTACTATTATAAATACTCTAAAGCTTTTAAAAATTCAATTGGGAGATCAATGCAAATTTCAGTGGGAGTCATTTTCATTTTCTTATCACCAACTTATTTTTATCTTTCTTTGTTATTTTAGCTTAATATGTTCTACCATGGTAAAGTTCTTTATTCTAATCTAATCATTGAGTAATACCCTTTTAACAATAGAATATTTATATATATCAATGATTCTAGATCATCTTTTCTTCCAAGTTCCTAGCCTTTATGCGCTGCTATTGAAGCATATCTTGTGGTTCCTACAAAGGATCGACCCTCTTTAAATGGACTATTTCATTTACTATAAAATTCTTACGCATGTTTTAAATTATTATCTCTATAAAGTTTGCTTATACCAAAATCAACTATGTAAATTTGTTTTTAATGATACATGATATTTTCTGGTTTCAAATCTCTGTGCACAACAGATTTGTTATGAATTCTCCTAATTATTTATAACAGATAATCTGTTATGATTAAGACGGTTTTTAATGAAAATGTTCGATATTCTTTTAAATATGCTCCAATATCCTTTGTTAAAAGTTATTAAACAAGTATGTTGGAATTGCTATCTATTCCACTCCAAATTAATTTTGGAACTCCTTAAGTACCTAATAATCTTGTAAGAATATGTATTTCCCGATCAAGTGTTGAATTTTTCTCTTTTTTCTCAATTTTAACAGCAACCATTTGTTTTTTTTATAGGTCTTCAGCTTCAAAAACAACTCCGTAAGACCCAGCCGATAATTTCTTCTTTAGCACATATTAATTATTAATGATTTTGTTTGGGATGCTAGGTGAATTCATTTTATAATTTATTTTAATAAATGAATATATAAACTTATTCAAAACTTACTTATCATATTAAATTACTCCTTTTAAAGATTCTAAAAAATCAATTAAATTATTGAACACAATAGTTAATTGCAAATTAATTAAATTTTCAAGTTTTAAGAGAATTGAAATGAATAAATTAGAGTTTTAGCAGATTGAAAAGGTTGATATTGCCTAATAATAAAAAGATTCATTTTATATTACAATCGCACTTCTTTTAAATCAGTTATTTTATAAAGGATGAAAATATATAAAATATAGTTTTATATCAGGATTCACTTTGGCCATTGAATTCGTCTTCATCATTATTTTAATCTTCAATTTATAAAGCTCTTCTAAAAGGGAAAAAAATAGTTTCCTTGTCATCTAAGCATCTTTTTACGAACTTCTCCAAAGCGTTACAATCATTAGGATGTTTATTCTTAATATAAATAATATAGTAGAGCATATGGTAGACACTATGTTCTAAATATATATGATAATGCCAGCCTTTTGATCCACTAAAAATAAAGAGGATATAATACTTTGTATCAATATCATTCTTATCAATACTACAAACAAAACATTTGCCTTCAATTTCTTTCACTAAGGCTTATCTCTCATCTCTCAATTCACCAAATGTATCTAAAATAATACCAAAGATTATTTAAATGAACAAAATGTTGAATATTATGAAAAATGAGAAGTCAAAAAAGTATCTTCCCCAATATAATGTAGGATCTTCATAAGGTTCAGGATATGTTTTCATTGAATCACCTAAACCACTACGAAGACCAAAATTGATTGTGGATGTAACGGCTAAAATAAATGTTTATCCATAAACACCATCTTCATCATTGAACATCCAGTCAAAGTCTGAAAATGCAATTATGGCATAAATTAGTAATCCAATAAACCCAAGAAAAGAGAATATGGCTAGATTTCTTCCATTCGATGTAATTGATTTTATAATATTCTAAAGATCCTCTGACCTCTTAATAATATCTAACAACAGTACTGCATAGATGTATGGATTAAAAAATGCATAAACTGTTAGTCCAAACATCCAAATCTATAATATTAAATTATGTTTACATTGTAAAAATTATCAAAGTCAAAAAATATAACAAGAATAAGCTTTTTGAAAGTGCTTTCGCTGACTTTTTATCCTTAAAATTCCTATTCAAAGTATCCAACAATACTATAATATTTCATTGTCAACCAAGCTATTGAAAATCCAGCTTCCTTTTTTAAGATCTGAACTCTTTTAGCATTAGTTTCACCTCTATTATATGTAATTGATATTGGATATCTTTCTATAGCACAGAAAAATACAATAATTAGATTTAATACTAATTAAATAATGGTGATAATCTAAATTATTAGATAATGATTACATTATTAAGATAACTTACAAAGTTCTGTCCAGGTACTTTTGTTTCTGACTCAGGAGCTTCTTAACTGGATCCTAATTTACTATTGACAACTATGTCATGCATAAAGATCAAGAGAATTACTATAACCAAACAGAGTATGAAAGATACATCTTTTAACAATCTCCAATAGACTGCTCCAAAATGCATTATAAAGCTATTGTTAATTTATTAAGAATGTCTCATTTAAACCTGATAAAAGTCAGCTTAATCAATTAATCCTTACATTCTATCTTCATCTGTATCCCTTTTGATCTCATAAATTATATGCTATTTAATATTGGGAGTAACAAAATTGCAAATAAAGGGTTTTTAAAAGAAAACCTTTTGAAGTTCAGATTATTCATTTTGAATTTCAATTCTACCAGTAAATTATCTATAGAATTTAAAAAACTATTGTTTTCTAGTAAACTTAAAATTTTCATCATTTGAGATATCTTCAAAAATTTGTTTAAATTCATTTTGTTAGGGTTATCTTAATTGGTTACTTAATAGAGCACTTTGTTCTTCTTTATCATGATTTTAATTTTTAACGAAGATTGGTACTACCTTTTAAGAAGAGGCAGTATTTTTTCTTTGTAAATCATCGTATAAGGGATCACTTAAATCAATCAAATCATCCTATTCATCTTAATCTTCATCGAATCTAAAAATTTCTAATTAGGAATCTTTAGGAAAATGCTCCGATAATGTTAGACAAATAATAAAAATATTAAAACCTGTTTGCATTAGTAGGTTATCTTCATCAGTTCTTAACCCAAAATGGCATAGGTTATTGGAACAGTATTAATGCTGTCCAATTTTTGATTCATCACAAATATTATCTAGGATGATATTTCTCTATTTAGGTTTAATACGATCTTGATATATGGATCTCGAGATTCTCATCAGAATTGTAATGTTCACAGTTTCGAGTATAAATTTCAAACATTGTTTGTCATGTTTTCCTTGAGTTATCAACAATAATAATTTAATAAATGATTGAAGTGTCTAATATGAGTTGTATTTTCTTTCTTGAAAATCAAGCTAATTTTTATTTAAATTTATAATAAGATCTTCTTCCTGATTTTATGATTTTAATAAATTTTCTTTAATTATATTTCTATTCTCTTCCTACAATTATTTGAATGATAACAAATCTTCTTTCTATAAAATTTAGTTTAATAATGTAAATAATCTCGTATTTTTGCATAACTCTTTTTTATTTTCTTCAAATCCAGTAGAGAATTCAACTAAACTCTCCAAAGCTTGTCTGTAGATTTCTTACAGCTTATAAAATACACTCCATCCTTTTTCCAATAAATCTGCTAATAAACTGGCTACTTCATTAACAATATTAATATTGGCTTAGTATGAATCATCATCGTATTAACGAACTAAAAACTTTTAGAAATCTACATTGACATTTTCACACAACGCCTACAATAATTTTAGGACTTTCAAACACAGTATTTTATATTCAGTGTTATTACCTTCGCATAATTCTAGTTCTAATATCCTGGAATTAATATCAGTCAAGAAAAATCCTCGGAGAAACACAAAGAATTTTTATTTAATTACCTAATCTTATTTAAGTATATTATAGAACTTTTTCTAGACATAGTCGTTTCCATAATCCAATAAATAAATTAACAATTATAATGCCTCGATTTTATGTTAATCATCATCAGAATCGTTCAGTATCTCTAATGCTAATATGTCCAAATCACTATCCACCATAGCATTTTAATATTTTATGAATATTTATTATTTCAACCTTATTTATTCTTTAGATTTTTCATCTTTTGCTTCTGTAAGTGAATCAATGTCATCTTGTGTGGGTCTTTTCAACAACAAGAATATTTTACATAATTTTATTAAATAGATTTCTCTGTTTAAAAATATGCCTTAACATTTTTCTAAAAATTCTTAAACATTGTCCTCGTTCAATATGTTTGTATTTTATTTCTCTAAAGTCTTGATTAGTAATTCTATTTAAATATCATCTGATATTAAATCTTCATTACCTTCTAATTAACCACCAAGCTTTTTGTATTGTTTTCCAATTAGTTTGTGACTAGCTATTCCAAACTCTTATTTAAGATTCTCTAAGCCTTCTTATTATCTTAAATACGCTTGCACTTACTGGTTTATTCCGATCTAAATAGTTTTAATCTCAAATAATTCCCTCATAGCTTATTTAAATAACTCCCAATCACTTATGACTCTATTTCTATTATTTACTTATTCTAATCTCTTAATTTATTCTATATTCACTTTAAAGATTTCATCAATATCGCTCTATTAGATGTATGTCTTATAAATGTTGCAAGTATCCAATATCTTCTATTATCTCTCTGATTCATTTGCCTTATTTTCGATGTACTCATTAAATTAATTAATATTCACTTTATATCTAATTAGATACACTTTAAAGTTTCTCCTAAAGAGATTTTCTATTCTCTAAACATTGTCTTATTCTTACAACTTTTTTTCTCCTGATTGATCCTCTTTCAAAGTATCAATCTTATCAAAAACTAATTTAGTATTCTTGTCCTTTTGGAATCCTATTTTAAAATTCTGACCAAACTTAGTAATTTTTCTTTATGGAATGATTTCTTCGATTGAAGTTATCAATTCTCTATAATCATCCAAATCCAAATCTTCCTTTTTTACTCTAAAATCCCTTTCTAAAACATTAAAAATCTCCTTTATTTTTTAGACATTCTATTTAATGATTGCAAATTCATCAGACAAACTAGAATTCTCTGGATTTTCTAGATCAGTTCTATCCTTCATCTCATCGTATGTATAAACTAAAAAATGAATTATCCCATTTTTCCTTAAATATTTCCAGTATTCAGTTTAATCCCTTAAGATTCCTTAATCTTAAACAAATTTTGAATCAAATGAAAGCTTATTCTCGAAATAAGTCAGCTTCTATCTTTAAATTGAATCTCTCAAATCTCTTTAAATAACCTTCATATTTCTATCTTGATTAGCTAATTTAGACAGCCCTTCCAAATATTTACACACTTATTTCTAATCTAACTCTGGGATTATTACCCTGGACAGTATATCTCTAACTTCATCACTCTCTACAGTATCATTAACAAACTACCCTTCTCTTACTTAATTGATATATAATTCAAATAAGCATTATAAATATGCTCTCTTCACAATATATTCACCTTTAGGATTTAATAAAATGGTCTTTAATTATTCATACAGCAATATTCTTTGCAGCTCCTATATTCCTATTCTATAAAACTGACAACATTCAGTTAACAATGTTATTAATTCTGAGTGCAACTTCATTCTATGATAAAGCAAAGGGTCTTTCACATTCTCCTCCTCAGTAATCAATTCTGGAATCAGTATATCCTGATAATAGTTCACTGGGTCTAAGACTATTCTCAGAAAAGTATTCTTTAAGATCTTCGATATAATTAAATGTTTATTCAAGGGCATCTATTTTGCAGGTTTTTCATAGGATTTTGTCATGGATCTTAAAATCTTAAAATATTAAATCAAAGAGTAATAAGCCACAGCATTTTCATGATTCCTTCTTTTTATAAATTT